GTAAACAATACCTCTAATGCGAAAGCAGAGGTAAAATGAATTAGGTGATGATAACCCTTTAAAAAGAAAAGGTATTTTGTGAGTTTCTGTGCAAAGGCCACTTGAGCGCTAAGCTTTATAATCAGCTTGGAAAATAGTTTAACCCACAGGATCTTTGTGACTTACTTCTGTCTTCCCCACTTTACAAGGTCAACTATCAAAACAGATACTGTTTGAACAATTCCAAATGCAAAGAAGTAAGTACAATTTCTAAACCATTTCCCATTTCTAAGGGAAATGCTACTATATCATTTTTAGGCTATGTTTAATACAGTGGTATAAAATCGCTAATTTAAACAAAAAAAAGGGAAACATAGGGAAAAAAAAAAGGGATAATCCACTTACTGCACCTCTGTTGTGCCTATCCTCGTAATACCCCTGAGTCCCAGTTGCTGGATTTAACCACAACGCTTTCTGATTTCCAGAGGAGCAGCAGCAGCACTCCAGCTTTCATCTTTAGCATTCCCAATTATGAGACCTTTGTCAGAGTGAAGCAAAGCCTGAACCTTTGCATGGGCTGAACCCTCACGGCAGCACTGGTGCTGGGGCATCCTCTTTTTGTGAGAGAGGGAACGACAGAGTGGCAGAGGGAGAGAGGGAGAAGAAGAAAAAGCAAGTGAGGAAGAGGGAAAGATGAGAAAAAGAGAAAGTCAGTGAGAACACAAGAAGAGGGAGAAGAGAAAGAGGAGTTTGCCTTTGCTGTGGGCCCAGAAAGAATGGAGAGGGACCTCCCCTGAGAAACTTGCATGTTGGACTCCCATCCTCTCAGTTATCCCTAGCACCAAACAGGAAAGGTGAAAGTAAGCCAGAATGCCAACAAAACTGATGTACATCCCTGATGTAACTTTTCCATCACTTGATCTTCTTCCAAGGGCAAGACTGCAGAAAATCACAGCCCAGATGAGCTTATGAGGTGCATAACTTATGTGCCCACTCTCTAGGTTCTTCTGGCACCATACTTTGTTCAGGAGCACTAGGTGTATTTTTTTATTTGTTCGGTTGGTTTTTGTCTGATTTTATTTTGTTCTACTTCTTTTGGCTGCCATTAATCTCTATACAATTGCGATACAGGCTCCCAGCAACTTCCTCTAGTATCTTTTTCCCGAATTTGTCATCTCTCAGTAGGAAATACCACCGATTTCCTGCCATCTGTAACTACAGGTATGAACTACAGATGCAAAGCAGGGCGAAGGTCTGCAGTACTCAGCAGGCTGCGGGTCTGTCCAACAGATCCTCACACCGCTGCCCCCCAGCGTCTATCCACCGCCTCTCCCATCCCAAATCAGCCCAGCAAACCGTTGTGCCTAGTCAGGAGTGGATCTGTGGAAGCTTTTGTGGAATCATGCCAAAATGTTGTGAAACGTGCCAAAGAGAATGCATTACGTGGCTTCCTCACCCCTCTTCAGAACCAAATCAGGTACATAAGAACGAGCAAAGACTCCTGTGTGCCGCTGCCTGCAGAGTGGAGGTGGCTGTGAGATGAGTAAACATTGAACACGACTGAGCAGCCCAAAGAGAATCCTAGTTGCATGCACAGTGCACCTCCTGCTGCCCTTCTCACACTTTTTCACAGCTACAGGTGCTTCTGAAACTCTTACAAAGAGCTATTCTGTTAGCAATGCCCATTTCAATGAAATATGTCATAGAAATCTGCTATCTTCTCTCCTCCCCACCTAAACACACTAAGAGCGTTCTTCCATTCTTGCCTTAATGACCCAGATATGGCAGACTTACATAATGTCACACTGCATTTTATTGGAAACCAATATACCCGCAAAACTGGCAAATCGTTTGAAATACATCACCCTGTTATCAGATTGGTTTGGCAGCTGTGTGAGCTGGAGGGAGTCCCAGAGCAGTGTCGGATTGCCATCTGCCGGCCGTTCCCTGCTTCTGGCAGTTCTACTCGGATTTCATCGGATTTCAACGCACAGAAGTTCAGGAAGGCCGTGACATCTGGGGTACAAGTACCCACATCTGTAGGCATTTCTGCTGAATTGTCATTCCCATTTCACAGGTCATAAAACCTTTCATTCTGTTTTGCAACTGCATATCTGTTGCAACAGGGATGTTTGGAACGTCACCATTCCTACCTGCTGAACCAGTCCTGCTGTCATCCTTAGTGCCTGATCACATCTGGTCTGATTTTTCTTCCATAGACACTATATGTAGATCGGTTGCTGTGCAACTTCAGATATTAGGCTTATAGATTCCTACCTTCACACTGCTATTTCTCCTTTCTCTCAGCAGGCAAACCTGCCAGGAGCTTGGGTCTCTTGCTCACGTGTTGAGGAATTATAGTAGGACTGAATGTAGGAGACTGCTTTTTGGAACCTTTCCTTGACAAAAGCTTGAAGCCTCGTGCTTGGTAGTGGCAACCAGCAGCTGACCACCTCCCATGACTGGACACATTGCCAGTGGGTGTGCAAAACTGATGCTGGTGACTGTAGTCATTCACTGAGTGAACAATCATGTAGGTGATTCCACAGGTCGGTGATCACTGAGCCATTACTGCTTATAGGGAAATTGTGCTAATAAGAAACAGCACTCTGCTAGACTGTGAGGGTCTCTGCTACAACTGCCTCTGCTCTTCAATTTCTGGGTGACAGACCTCCCACCTGAGGAGCCTTTCACCATCAGAGCTGGACAGTTCCACACCTGGAACAGGCTGATGGGAAAAGCAGAGGCAGGATGAAGCCTGGAGCAGCCCCCAGGACTCTCTTACTAGACCAGTTAATGCCAAGACAGCACCCTCACAAGCCAACTGGGCAAAGGAACGATGCTACCAATACCCAGTAGAAAATCAATGCAAAACAATGGCATTAAGAATTAGTTTTATGACCTGAAACATCAGTGATGCCTGCTTTGCTCCTGACTGGGCTCCCAGGATCAGCTGAACACATTGACTAGAGACCTACACTTACACATACTGTTCCCTCTGTGAATTATACGGTGATCTGGTGTGAGCTCACCCACTTCAGGTCCTTCAGTTACGATCAGCCAGCAACCTTCCACCTTCAATAGGCTATTTTCACAAAACCCATGTAAACTTCGTTGCCTTTGAAGGCTCTTCCTCCTTATCTGAGTGAAGCAAAGGACTTGCAGAGGAACAAAGTTGCAGAAGAGCATTTCCTCTGCTTACAAAACCAGGCTAAGTATGTATGTAGATTATATAGACCCTTACTTGTCTTCTTGCTTTTTTTTTTTTTAAACTGTACAGAAGCATTTCATTTCTTCACTTTGAAAAGTTAGAAACTGGAGTCCTGCAATGGAAGGGAGTATTCCATCTACTCAGGTATCTTCCAAACCAGCTCTTTGAACAGTTGTCCCCACTGCAGAGGGTACCCAAGAGAATACTCAATCAAAGGTAGTGTATAAAGCAAAAGACTAAAGAAAGTATCTTAAATTTTGCCTATCAACTCTAGAAGGATCTAATGGAAAAAATGAAAAGTATAACTGGAAAAAAAAAACCAACAAAACCAAACCTATATATTTTAAACATTTTAATTAACAGAAAATCATTTTCCTTGAATAACTGAAGATTTCTTTCATCTATGGATTACTATATACCTTTCCCTTCAGCTGCCACATCAGCCTTCCCCATCATTATGTTGCCACTAAGCAATACCTAACACCTCCCTTTCTTGTGCTGCCATCCCAACTTCTCTGTCACCTTTTCATAGAATCACAAAATTGTAGGGGTTGAAAGATTTCTGGAGATCATCTAGTCCAGCTCCCTGATAAACCATATATTACATAGGAAAGTGTCAAGGTGGGTCTTGAGTATCTCCAGAAAAGGAGACTCCACAGCCTCTCTGGGCACTCTGCTTTGGTGCTCTGTCACCCTCACAGTAAAGAATTTCTTCCTCATGTTTAATGAAACTTCTTGTGACCCAGTTTGTGCCCACTGCCCCTTGTCACATCACTCTACACCACTGTAAGAGCCTGGTCTCATCCATTTGAATCCGTTAGATATTTATAACCATCAATGAGATTCCCCCAGCCTTCTCTTCTCCAGGCTGAACAGCTTCAGCCTTTCCTCACAAGGGAGATGCTCCAGACCCCTCACCATCTTTGTGGCCCTCTGCTGGACTCTCTCCAGAAGTTCCCCATCTTTCTTGAACTGAGGAGCCCACAACTGGACACAGTACTCCAGGTGAGGCCTTACCAGGGCAGAGATGGGAGGGGAGAGGATCACCTCACTTGACCTGCTGGCCATGTTCTTTTTAATGCACCCCAGGATCCCATTGGCCTTCTTGGCCACCGGAGCAGACAGCTGGCTGATGGCCAACCTGTCATCTACCAGGACCCACAGGTCCTTCTCTGCAGAGCTCCTCTCCTGCAGGTCAGCCCTAACTTGTGATGATGATGATGATGATGATATTATGCACGTGATTATTCCTCCCCAAGTGTAGCATTCCACACTTTCCCTTGCTAAACCTCATTAGGTTCTTCTCTGCCAAACTTTCCAGCCTGCCTAGACCTGACTAAATGGCAGCACAGCCTTCTGGTTTGTCAGCCAACCCTCCCAGCAGCCATCATCAAACTCCTGAGGATGCATTCTATCCCTTATTCTGGGTCATCGACGTTGTTGGACAAGACCGGCGTTTTCCCAGTGAGCCGAGCTGACATGTATCGAAACACTGGGGCACTGGTGAGACGCGCTCCTTTCCTCCCACCATTAAGCACCTCGCGTCCCCGCGCACTCCGCATTCCGCTGGACCACCACGCGGGGAGCGCGGGTCGAGCGCCACCTCGCGGGCGGGAGGAGCCCGGCCGGCAGCTGTGCGGTCGTCCCACGCCGAAGGTGCGGGGCGGGGCTCGTGGCGGCTGCGGCTGCGCGCGGCTCGTGACGCCAGAGCGGCTATGGTGGCTGCAAAGTGACACGTCTCACGCGCGGCGAGGGGCGGGGGCGCGGCCGTTCTCGCGGGATCGCGCGGCGCCTGCCTCGGCCCCGCGCGAGCCGGCAGGGCGAGAGCGGGGGCCGCCGGGCGGCGGGGGCGGCGGTCGGGCGGCCATGGCGGGGCAGCAGTTCCAGTACGACGACAGCGGCAATACGTTCTTCTACTTCCTCACCAGCTTCGTGGGGCTCATCGTCATCCCCGCCACCTACTACCTGTGGCCCCGGGATCAGCACGCCGGTGAGCCCGGCGGCGGAGCGGGCCCCGGAGCTGGAGGGGCGGCGGGGAGGGGGACGGCCGGCGCGGGGCTGCGCGGTGCCTCGCTGCGGAGCGGCCATTGCGTACGGGGCGGGCGGCGCCGGCTGCGTGCCGCGGGGCTGGCGGGGCGGCCGGGCTGGGCCCGAGGGAAGAGCTCCGGGTTCGACAGCGGGGTGCCCGAGGTCACGGCCGGGGCAAGGGGCTGCTCCGCCGGCAGCGCGCTTCTCCCCGCGCAGGTCTATTGTTTCCCTGTCGTAAGTCGCTGTGAGGGCTGCTGTCTGCTCTGCCCTCTGGGATGCCGCTTTGTGGCACGAACTGCTTCAGAAAGTTTCTCTGGGTATTTGAGAATTTCCCTTTCGCGGTCGTTTCCCTCTTTGTCTTTATTTTTCGTCGAGGAGAAGCACCGTGGCACCAACCGCGGTTCTGAAATGGAAAATAAATAAATAAATAAGTAGATCCGACAAAAAAAAAAAAAGCTGTAGAAATTGTCCCTGTTTAAAGGCAGTTAAATGCTCTTCGCGGCTGAGCTGCCCCGTGCTGGCTTGCCGCTGTTGGGAGCAACGAGTGTTAAGGGTGCTTGCAGGTCACTGTCTGAGAGAAGTCCCTTTAGCTCCCTGCAGCTCTGGGTTCTTTCATGTTTCAGTATCTCATGGCTGTTTCCTAGTTCTGTGTGCCATTTGCAATGGCGTCCATGGGGTGCTTTAACTCAGGTGTCATCGTGGAGTATTTCTTCTGCGTGTGAAGCTTCCATGTAGGAGCATGTAGAAAAGGAGCCAAGAGAACAAATGGAAGTTTGGTGCTAAATCACAGCTGTTTACCAATCGTCGTTGCTGGGGCTTCAGCCAGGGCCCTGGCCAATGGAGGGCTGATCCTGCCTTTCTCTGCGACCTGTTGCGCAGCTCAGGAGTTAGTGCTTTCTGTTAGGCAGGAAGAGTCCTGACTGTATCTGTGTGATACTTTGTCATCCTTTGGTTGCTTTTTCAGGAGGAAGGGGTCAGAGAGAGAAAGTAACTGTAACTGTTCCTCCAAATGCAACTTTTTTTTTTTTTTATTTATTCCATCATTGTTCTGGTGAAAGGTGGGAAGAGGTAGTGAAGAGAAAAGGAGACTTGCTTTGATATGGTGGCCTACTTGCTCCATAATTTTTAGCAGCTGATTTGACTTGGTTGAGATGCTGTGCAGCAGTGACACTGCTGTCAGCTTTGCTGTGCCGGGGTCTGATAGCAGCACCAGGATCCATAGAAATCTTGTCAGCTTTGGGCACACTTCCCAAGCATTATGTTTGATCTTCAAATATGAGATTATTCTTACAGAATGCTAGAAAGTGGCAATGTAAGTTTTACTATATGAGTGTATGGATTATTCCCAATTTCTAAGTAGGTCTTCCCACTAAACATTGCTCATCTCTTCCCCTCTAGCTAGCCTTGTCTTGTGTGTGTGTGTGTATGTGGAGAGCCTATTGCATATCGCTCTGCAATTAGTAGAGGATTCTTACAAAGCTGAATCAAGCTGTACTTTTTAAAACAATGTAAATTTTATTATGGCGTTGGTATGGTACAGAAATGAGTCAAACTAAGTGAAAGTCACCAGGCATTACAATGATTGGAAATAAAAAAGTGTGATTTCTCCCTCATAATTGTCTTAATGGATTTTAAAATTTGAGTATGTAGTCCAATTTTCAGTGTACGGTTGAATTGTATGCCTACATTAAAAAAAAAAATGCCTGGCAGGTATCATTGCTGTTTTCTGTTATGTGTAGCTCTTTGTCTTTGGAAAGTGGAGGTGTTGCATAAGATCACACGTAGAGCTCCCAAAGCCCTTTCTTGCTTCATCAGGTTTGTCTAGTTGTTCAAGTGTCTTCACACAGCTTTGTATTAAGCTATACTCATTGTACAATTTGAACAACATATAAGGAATAAATTAAACCTATGATGATGTTAAATACTTCTTAGCCATGGCTTCTTATTTCAAGAATAATTCATGAGTTTAAAGACCACGAAATCAAAGCACACGTAAATAGGAAGCTAAGGGGAAGCCTTTGGTCTTCAGAACAGAGATCTTCTCATTGTGTTAGCTTTTGATGTGTGGTGTTCATAGAACAGAACCATAGAACCATTGAGGTTGGAAAAGACCTCTAAGATCACATAGTTCAACCACCATTCCACCCCCACCATGCCCACTAACCACGTCCCTCAGTGCCACACCTACACGTGTCTTGAACACCTCCAGGGTGACACCACCACCTCCCTGTGCATCCTGTGCCAATGTCTTACCACTCTGAGAGGAAATTTTTTTCCTAATATCCAACCTAAACCTTCCCTCTCATCCTTTGTTGGTTCTGGTACCATTTTAGAGCAGTTTTGCCAACCGGGAAGGCACAGCACAGGGCCAGACTGAATAGTACCTCTGTTCTCTCTGTATAGGACTAGCTAATGTTTTTTGTTTTGGAACTGTATTTTACCATAGCCGTGCTAGAGGACCTAGCATGGAGATACCTTTAATGCTTTTATGGTGCTGGGCAGTAGGTTAGGTGCTGTTGGATGTGGCTGTTTCAGCCCCAGCTCAGCCTGTCCAGGAGTGAGGAGATGGGATCAGAGTGAACTTTTGAAGCAAAATGCATAGCTGGCCTCACTTCAAGACCCTTCTGCAATGTGATGTAAGGCACCTTAAACATATGCTGTAGCTTTTTGAGGGGGCAAAAAATAAATTCTAAGATGTACTTCAGCCACTGATGGGGATTTGATTTGTGAGCGGGCTAGAGGTACTCTGGAAGAAGAGAGAAATGCTTATAGTCTGGAGGTTGAACCTTCAGTGCCCTCTTTTATCTTAAAGATGCTCTGCCTTGAATTACTGGTATGTGATTCCCAGCTGCCTTCCCATGCTAGCACTATAAACCTGGGTGTAGCTAATATTTGCTAACATCTCGCTGTTATTTCCATGCTGTGGTTTTGTAGTAAATGCCTGTAGAGTAAATGAAAGGGAAAGAAAGACAGTGTTTGTTTTTGCCCCGGTATAGTTTGGGAAGTAGGAGTATATCTGTATTGCTTTATTACCTTGAGAGATCTCCAACTGTGTTACCTAATGCCAAGTTTATAATAGGATAACTTTTTGGCAAGCTGTTAAGATTTTGATCTTTATTCTTTTTAGAATAAATTTTTGAAAGACTGTTTCAACACTCTTGTCTTGAAGACCGTGACTCAACTTCTTGCCTCTCTCAAATACTGAGTAAAACTTGATCTGCTTTGGTTTCCTGTGTTTCTGAGCTTATTTTTCAGGGCATCGAGAGTCCATATGAATGTTGCTGCAGCCTGCAGTAGGGATTCGTATTTGTATTTGGAGGAGGGGACTTGCTGTCCTTTAGTAGTCACAGAAAGAGCTATCATTTTGTTACTTCAGCTTTGATAAACCAAACAAGCAGGTAATTGACCTTGTTAAACAGATTTGTCCCAGAGACTTTGCCTCCTCAGTGTTCGTTGTCAGGCCAGTAAGGCTATTGTAAAATGTTAATTGTTCAGTCTTGTGTGTTGGGCTGTAGTTTCATAACTGCTTCAAGGTAACGGATTCTAACAGAAGTAGTTTTGTGTTTCTCTCCCTCGCTGTGCCAAATAGGACAGCTAAATGTTGTGCTGTACTGAAAGAGAGTGAGTGGAGCTAACTAATTTTTAGCCTTTTTTTTTTTCCCTCAAAAGTCTGATCTTGAAAATTACAGGGAAAAAAAAAAAATCCGCACAAACTTATAATGTAAGCGATTTGAAGCAAGTCCAGTAATGAGTAGGTTCTTAGTCAGGTGCTTATCCATTGCTGGCTGCTCAGAATAAAGATCAGCATCCAGAAGGGAAATGGAGAGGAAGAGGTGAATGAATCTAGCTGAGTAACGCGTCAGCTGTTGCACAATACCGATGTGCTTGCTGAACTCTGTGCGCTTTTGATGTACACCTGAGCTGCAGAATAGAGACGTGCAGTTATAAAACTGTACTGAAACAGATAGCTGTCAGTTGTGTGTTTTGTAGTGAAGTCTGCATATCTGTGGCGCTTCGTCGCTCAGTCCAGTTTTTGAGTTGAGTTAGGCAGGTATTAAATAACCCACCTTGTTTTAGGGCACTGGTTATTTGTGATATGTTAAAAAGCTGCTTTAAAAAATAAAGGTCTCTGTCCTAAGCCTTTTACATACACTTGACCAGAATGAGCTGTTGAAAACCGTTCAATACCCCTGAAGAATAACAGCTGCGCGAGTACTGAGATTAGTGTTAATGCAGCTCTTCTGTCTGTCTCTCCCATGATAGAAAGAGAATGCAGGAGATGTTCTGCTTGGAATGTAGGTCTTCTTTCTGCAGTGAAAGAACAGAAAGACCTACTGTAGGAATGGAGGGAAGGGGAAGGACAAGCTGCTACATTTTTCTTATCTAGGAACAAAAATACTGACACAAAACGGAGAAAAACAGTTTAATTGTGACAAAAAAGAACTGTACAATGTGTGTGGCTTTTTTGATTCTGTCCCTCTGAAGAGCCGTGTGCTGTATTTGCACTCATCTGCTTCCCCTGCTCCCTCCCTTCTCAAATGTTTTGGTGCCTGAGGTGCAGCTACTTTTCTAGAGAAACACTTGGCTAATACAAATAAATGCTTACAAAATCAGGTTATAGGATGCTTTTCCTTGTTGTTTAGAAATGTCATGTCTCTAGGAAGTAGCATAGGCAGTTTGAGAAATGCTCTTCTAGTCTAGCCTTTTTGCATTGAGGCTGGACAATGTGCACAAATGGATATATGGAATCATAGAATCATAGAATGGCCTGGGTTGAAAAGGACCACAATGCTCATCCAGTTTCAACCCCCTGCTATGTGCAGGGTCGCCAATAACCAGACCAGGCTCCCAGAGTCACATCCAGCCTGGTCTTGAATGCCTCCAGGGATGGGGCATCCAACCTCCTTGGGCATCCTGTTCCTCTGCATATATCTATCTATGATATATATAGATATACATATA